GGGAGGGTGCGGCGCCCAAGATGACCAAGCGTTGACCGGCATGACAGTAGTCGGCCACGGACACTGTGACGTCACATGTGTCGGAACGGAAGGCCTGAGCGAGACGTCCCCACGCCGAATGAATGGTTCTTCCTATGTTGTCGATGGTAGAGCTCCTTCTGCATGGATCCCAGAGAAGGACATAGGTCTTCTTGCTGTTTGTAGTGATCCGGTTCCACTCAAACGATGACCCAACAGGAATCAAAACCCGTGCCTCCCATTTGGAGAATTTTCCAAAGGCACTGCATTCACGCTCTTCTTGAGATCCCAGCTTCCAAGTTGAGGGATGGAACCCAAGATGCAGACATGGGAGAAGCAAATTCCCCCGCTTCCCTCCCGAACACGCGCGTTGTCTTGGTGACAGTGCATCCTGAACCCGGCGTAGACGTACTCGCCAGACATCGTCGGCATCTGTGACAGCATTCGCGGCGAGACAACACACACAACTGACTGCAAACTTGTTGCTAACTGAGTTTTGGAAAGACGGGCTGTCTGTGACGTCATGTCATTATGACGTCACAATAACGAGAACGTCATCTACTTTACAGGAGAGAGAGACGATGGTTGTGGACGCCTTCGAAATATCAAACATACTCTATGTTATGTAATTTGTCATTGGTCGAAGCGCTACCCTTATTTATGCATGGATGGTTGGTTGGTTGGTTTGGTGTTTAACGCCGCACACAGCAATATTCCAGCTTTTTGACGGCGGTCTGTAGATAATCGAGTCTGGACAAGACAATCAAGTGATTGACATTATGAGCATCGATCCACGCAATTGGGATACGATGACATGCATCAACCAAGTCAGCGAGTCTGACAACCCGACCCCGTTAGTCGCCTCTTACAACAAGCATAGTCACCTTTTACGGTAAGCATGGGTTGCTGAAGACCTATTGTACCCCGGCTGCCCTTCTACGAAATCCTCCACTGAGAAACGTCACAAACTACTTTTAATCATGTCGTTAGATGTGCCGCCATCAGCTGCAGGAAAGACCTTCACAATTTAAATTGTACTTAATTAGGAAATTAAATTTCAAAACTTTATACATGTTACGTACATGATATCAATATGTAAGAGAAATAATAGTAAACATAGTCTAACGAAGGTTTTTGCGTAAACATTTAGCTGTTTTTCGAATACACCCCAAAATTGTGCTATGCCGGAAATATTTGTATTGTACTCCTTCTAGTATAATACGGGGGCACGGGTGGCCCAGTCGTCTAAGGCGCCGCGATTCGCTGTGCAGAGTTGCGTCCCCTGGGCACGCCAGAAACCTATGATTGTGGGTTCGAATCCCGGTTCGCTCGATTATGTTTCTAGGTTTGTCAGCACCATACCCGTGCTCGTGGGTTTCACCGAAGTGGTAAACGTCTGAGACCTGCATCACTTCGGACTTTCCTCCCACATTAAGCTGACACGCCGCGATATAACTGGAATAATGTTAAAAGCGGCGTTAAACCCAACTCACTCACTCACTCTAGTATAATACCAACAGCGTGTTCTTTCTGTTGTAGGGTTAATCTTAGCATGCTACTGTCCAACGGTTTGGGTGGGAATGAACAACACTTCGTTCCTTTTATACCCATATCTTTGTAGCTGGCCATGATGTAAGTGCAGCCAAAGTTTCACTTCAAACTCAAGTTCTGTTGATCTGGGTCTGTAGCAGTTACTTACTCAGCAAATTGTTTTGGTTGTGTTTGGGCTATTGATTCTCAACCATTTTGTGACACTATTGGGGGGTTGGTCCCACCATTCCATTGGTCCATATTCCAGTTTTGTAAGGCTGCGTTCACACAGTGCCGATTATGGCTCCCGTTTGAGATCAGACAGCGCTTCTACACGAAAAGTGAAAAAGTCGGATTACTATCCTCAATGATCGGGAATGCCTATCATTGTCTGAACGCAGTCGTACACGTTCGTAACAGAGTCCTACGGGTCGGGAAAGGTCCAGAGAGGTCGGCCAAGCACTCCCGACATTATGGTGCGCCCGTAACATTCGGGAAACTCAGCCGATTTTGTCTAGTCGGATTACAATGTCTTGACAGATTCTGCTGTATCGGATCAACATCTTAACAATGACCTGTGTTGTCTGGACGGTGTCCTGTCGATTGGGACGCTGTCGTGATGAACGGCCATGATTTGGAGAAATTGTTCATTGTCGTTTCTTGTCGACTGAGTCCAGATTGCGTCCAGATCTTGCCGAATGAGCGAACCGTCTTTGTCGGTTCACTGTCTGATCTCTGTCGGGTCGCATTCGGGAGAATCGGGACGCTGTCGGGACAGATTCGGTCGTTTTTTTACCATGCGGAAGAGACAAATCGGATCAGATTCGGATTGAGAACGGGAGAATCGGGACGAATTCGGCTGGCAACGGCTGAATCGAGACGCTTCCTGAACAATATCTGATTGTTGTCGTGATTAAATAAATGTTTTTACAAATTTGTGAATTTCCCGCCACGAATCACATTATCTTGATCAGGCTTTTGACAAATGTTAATCGGGAATAGTCCTGTCAAGGACGGCAGTAAAAATCCTGAATGTGTGACTGAGCACTAACGGTTCTTCTTTCTTCGTCAGTTTACATGAAAAGTTAGGCTATTTATGTCCATCATACACAATCTTAGTAACTGAAAAGTACATTCCTCGAGCAGTTGTGAGTACAAACATGTCATGTTAACCAGTTTCCTGCGAATCTGAAGAAAACTGCACACAAAAGGCTTTTTCTACATGTGGTGTAAAACAATGTTTTTTTACAACAACAAAATGCTTTATTGCAATGTACTGCTATTTTCAATGTTCTATTGAAATCACCTACGTCTGTAGGCCTACTGTTAAGTGAACAGTGAGAAAATATTTACATTCTTTCATTATGTTGAATTTGAAATGTGAAGTAAAAAACAATCTCATCACTCTTTTATTAAGAAAGAAATCTCAGGCTCTAATGATGAAGAAAAAACAACACGACTCTTTACCCTACCCCTCTAAATATCAAATGGTCCGCCCCTTAACCGGGTGGTAATCACGTGATTAAAACTCGATGATGTTTGTGGGAACTGGATAATCCATACCCGCCCATTTTCCCTGGGTACGAATCTCCCTGGCGACGGATCGTCAAGTATTCTGTTTATCGCTAGCGAAATGGATATGTCGTGAAAAGCGCACTTTGCATTTTTGGTCATTACTGTAAAGTAATATTTCTTATGAGCGGAATGTCTTGTTTTCACTTTATAAGTATTAGCACACATATGCAGCCATCTTCGTTTATCAAACATCGCAATATTTCGTGATTCTATTTCAAGTGGCGGAGGGGGCACGGGTGGCCAAGTCGTCTAAGGCGCCGCGATTCGATGTGCAGAGTTGCGTCCCTTGGGCACGCCAGACACCTTTGATTGTAGGTTCGAATCCCGGTAACCCAGATTATGTTTCTAGGTTTGTCTGCACCATACCCGTGCTCATGGGTTTCACCGAAGTGGTAAACGTATGAGACCTGCATCACTTCGGGCTTTCCTCCCACACTAAGCTGACACGCCGTGATATAACTGGAATACTATTAAAAGCGGCGTTATACCCAACTCACTCACTCAAGTGGTGACAATTGGTCACACAATTCAATGCATGAGGGCACCCTGCGGCACAAAAGTTCCCATTCAAAAATACATTCATGTTCATGCAATAAAACAAAGAAGATAATATTCTGGAATTGGAAGATAAAAGCAGTACATGTATGTATCTATATTTACGTCATCCCTGGAGTATTTATATTTTTTTTACATCAGTTCGAGTTCGAAGTATAAAAATGAAACCTAGCTGGGTCTCCATTTTGTCGGTTAGTGTTTCCTGGATCTCAATACCATAAGGCCGCAAGCCCCGGTCTGTATGGCCTAATACGTACGTTTGTTTTAAATATGTTTATCTTTAAAATAACAGCTGAAATATCTATAAGCGAGTCACAATTTTAAGTCCTCTGTGTGTGAAGTGAGGAGAAAGATTATTACACTTTTAAAGCAACGTGCATGCATGTGTGTGTGTGTGTGTGTGTGTGTGGCTGCTTGTACTAGTCCAGACTAATGCCGATTTTATAGTGCTAGCCCACTGATTGAGATACCATGCCGCAGTCTAACATGAACTCCCTACTCAGACACAGTATACTGACTCCGAGCTGACCATTCCTTGTTTTATCCACTGATTCCAAGCGCCAGGCAGGGTAACAACAAGTACCTTCTTTTTAACGTCTTTTGGTTTGACGCGGCCGGTAGGGATCGAACCCCCGACCTTTCGCCCTCCGAGAGGACACTCTACCTCTAGACAACGCAGGCGTGGTAATAATGTCAATACAAAGTTTGTCGGTACCCTTTGTATTGTTTGCATTTCGGCAATAAGAAATAGAACCAAAATCAATTATTATATTCGATGTACCATTCGCTGGTATAGAAAGTTTTTGGTAATGGAAATTGACAGCTACATGTGAGTAGATCGACGAGCTACACATTCCACTGGTCAAGTCAGAATTAACCACACCAAATTTAATTTCTGAGTTTATGTATATTGTTAGACATATATTATGTTAGTTCTCTATATCGATAGGTCATAGGATATACGTAGATAATTGGACACAGGTGAACAATATCACATTCAAAATTACTTATTAATCAGAAGAGCTCCAGATCTCTCACAGTGGAGAAGCGTTTTTCTACTGCTTGACCCGACATATATCACAAATCGTCATTGTCGGGTCTCTGTGATCTTTTATAGTGTAGGTAATTCACTATCTCAAGCAGATTTCACAGTGGCAAATAATTGATAATGGATACCGACAAGATTACGCCTCGATGCCGAGTGTTTAAATGTATTGGTGATACTTCCGAGACCCTTCTGATTGTAAAGTGGCGGTGAGATTAGAGCCGAACGAGCACTTCAACCCGTGGCGTCCTGTTGCTAGGTGACAAGGGCAACCCTCAATGGCGTTGTCAACAAGCAAACAAGATGGCGGCCTACGGAGCCCGTTCTCGCACCGCATGGATAGAAACTAGTTAATGGATGGGTATTACGCCACTGTCATCCTATTTAAGACGGGTAAGATTATGTCAATGTATTTTAATGATAATTACAATCGGAGATTGAAAACGTCCAGTGACAAACCTCACTGAACGCTGATAACATTAGCAGTAGGCCTAGGTCGGACACCTGTCACTAACACTATAGTAACAGTAACAGTCCTCGACTCGGGATTGGAAATGTGAAAACAAACTGTCCCGTGACTTTGAGAAATTGTGTTTGATGTTCATCATATCCAAAATGCAATGTTTACATAAAGATTGAGCTTCTTTCACTTCAATTATGCGATTATTTTATTGAATAGTTGTGTTTTGACAGGTATTGCTAACACTTGGTTATTTTTCTGATATATTTTATAATAGGCCTAGTAATCCGCACTCCCTCAACATACACAATGAACTTAGTATCACAAGAAGCACAAATTCATCTTACATGTATATTGTTCATTTCATTTCATTTGTATACTATATTCTTTCGACAAACTCTTTCCAACTGATTACTGACTGAAATGTCTGTTTGTGGAAATCTTGGTAATATAGGCCTAGTTTCTAAGCTACCAAAAATCATGCATCCTCAATTACCCAGTTTGCTTTGTCTTCATTCTATTATAATATATATGCTTCCCCCATCCTCTACAATAAAGCGCTATTTTGAGTCCATCTGAATGACAACATATATAGCAGCCCAGTCACATTACCCTCGTATGTGAGAGAAATTCAAGGTGATGTTACTGAAAACAAAGATGGCGACATCACTTCCAAATTGAAACTATGGTTATATGGTGTCAAAAGCAGCAAATCAGTTTTTGGTACTCATCGTGATAGAGTGGACATTTAATATACTGAATAATCATGTTTATCATAACCAGTACACGTGTCACCTTGGGCATAATGTAAAAAGCTGTATATGGTTTGGCAATGCCTCACCCTTGTTTGTGGGGATCACCTCTGTGGTCAAGTGGATAGAGTGTCTGCCCGGAGAGCGGAAGGTTGGTGGCTCAATCCCTGGCCGCATCCTACCAAAAGAGTTAAAATTTGGTACTTGTTGTTACCCTATCTGGCACTCGTTATTAGGGGCTAAATCAAGGACTGGCTTGGAGTCAGTATACTAGGTCTGAGTGGGTTATCCATGTTAAACTGTGGAATGGTATCTCAGTGGACTAGTACACACTATGCACAATGATATATAATTGCAATAATTTTGAGCCGTGAGGATGCATGTCATCATATTCCAATTGCATGGATCAATGCTCATGATGTCAATCACTGGATTGTCTTGTCCAGATTCAATTAATTACAGACCGCCGCCATATAGCTGGAATATTGCTGAGTGCGGCGTTAAACAACAAACAAGCAAAGGAAAACAGGCAAAGATGTTGAACGCAGCATTGAACCCCACATCACCTCTCCTCACCTACTTATTGGTTGTACTACAGTGTTTAACATCTACAACCTCCATCACTTTGAGCTTCCCTACCACATGAAGCTGACATCTCCCTGAGGCAAGGGAGCTAACAGACTTTAAAAGTCCAGTTTCCACCTTTGCCGAACTAGGCTGGAATCTGGAGTTACATTTTGGCTGGACTAACGAGTCTATAGATACGTAATGCAATCAAAATTGCATAACGAACTGGACATACAGTTCGTAAACATGGAATTCAGCCTGAAGATTTCAGTCGACTGCAGGATTTGCAAAGCAAGCGTACCGCCAACTGGGTGTTGACAGATATTTGCCAATCTTTTCATGTTTTTTTTCAAGGTGCTCAAGTGATATGATTCACTTCGCGAGGTAATACCCGTTATTTTACAATATGGACCATGAATAGATCGTCTTGACCGGGCACCACCATTTTGTTTGATGCAAATGCAAGTGATATGAGAGATTGAATCTGATTGGTCAATAGGAGGGACATAACTCATAATAGCAACTGGCGGCGCTACGGTCGAGCTTGGAAATTCCAGCCTAGCTCGGCAAGAGTGGAAACTGGACTTTTATAATCAGTTAACACCCTTGCCTCAGGAAGATGGTTGCCATGTAACTGAAATGGTCATACTTTTAGGAGTGACCTAACTCACATGACTAATGCTCAGCAATGTCATGCAAGCAAATATCACTCTTACTTCTAAACATAATTCTGTTTCAGGACCATTTTGCCAATAATTAACATATAAGTGCTCTCTGGTCATTTGAGTAGCAGTCATCTAATAACATCTCAGAGTAAGAAGATCAAGATGTCGTTCATCATACCACATGAGAGAGGCTTGATCGACATCTTGACAGTGGAATTACTGCTGTATTTACAAGCATTAGCTAGTAACATGATAATGACTATCTGACACTGTAAGGGGCTTACTGTCAAATTACAAAGGTACCTTATAGTAATCATAACATTTATTGAAACTTACATGTAATATTTCTTGATACATCAATAAGGCTGTCTGTTTGTGCGTTTCAGCTTAAGATTTTCTGATAACAGCAGATTAGCTTTGTTTGTTTGATAAGTACTGAATGAAGAGAAATAAACCATATTTAATAGGCAAGACCTAGGGAAGGGTTTCAGTAAAAGAAATACCGTATTCAACGGAATAAGCGCCCAGGGCGCTCTCAAAATTAGAAATAGGGGGCTCTTATTAGAATATTATTTTGGTGAAAAAAACAGTTGAAAGATAAATTTCGTGGTTTATGCTGACAGCCTGAAATGTTTATGTACGACAGATATATTTTTCCAGAATTTAATTGCCCATAATTAAGGGTGCATATAACACATGAGTGCGTATTATACGCGAATAAATAAGTCTTGTGTACATTGATCAATCGGAAGGGGTGCTAAATGGGATTGTTCACCAGCCAAAATATTAGCAAATGTCGCCGAGGGTGCTTATTAGAGCGGGGCGCTTATTACGTCGAATACAGTACACAGTGTTTGAAATAAGTGCTGTTCAGGTGTTAGTTTACTGTGCTGGTGGCACCGTAAGTCCCCATGATCCCCATTGAGGTTGCCTAGCTTTGGTTACTGGTGGACTATAGCCGGTGTTTTAAAATGTATGAATGATATTGTTATGCTCAAATATGTTTGATAAATTGTTTTTAAATATTACTTTGTATTCGTGATTAAATTGTGTATATATCAACTTGGTCTCTTCGCTTTACGTTACATTTTAACTCACTCACTCACTACTGTTCTGGTGAATGGGATACTAGTGTTAAATTGCTTCACAGAATTCTGAGAAATGTTCAAAGAAATCATAAAAATTCAGAATGGGCAGTCTATTTATATAAATATTGATTATCAGTATAAGTCCTGAATAAATTAATTATTTGATTTTCATTCAAAATTTAAACGATGTGAGGCAGATCAAGTTATTTTTTATTATGTTTTGATTTTTTCATTAGCAAGCTGTTCAAGGCATGTTTATTGTATATGTTGATGGTTGTGATTCATATGAAGATGAATGTTTACTGGGACTATATGTGCAGTGGTATGTAAATTAAGAAGAGAACAGACATAGAATTTAATTTTTAAGGTACTTTAGGAAAATAAAATATGTGAAGTGAGGTGTTTTTTAGTAAAACATGTGAGGATAAACATTGATAATTAATTTACTCAGGGTTATAAATTAATTTGTACTTTCACTCGTGTGCAAAAATGATTAGCTGCAAAGTTGCCGTCTTAGACGTTGTGGTCCACAAGAAAATGTCACTGGTAAAGGAATCCTTCCTGAGTTTTAAATACTAAATTATAGTCTTGGACTATGAGACTAATGATAATTTTGAACCCCGTTATTTGTTTGAACAAAGAAAAATTACTTTGGCTATTTGGCACCACAGGTCACTGTCTGGACAAAAATAAACAATATTTTTGGACTCAACATGGTGTTTTAGAAGGATCACATTTTATTATGCAGCACTGGGGAAATTGAACTACCGTGTTCGACGTAATAAGCGCCCAGGGCGCTCTAAAAATTAAAAATTGGGGGCTCTTATTGGAATATTATTTTGGTGAAAAAAAAAGATAAAAGATAAATTTCGTGGTTTATGCTGACAGCCTGAAATGTTCATCTACGACAGATATATTTTTCCAGAATTTAATTGCCCATAATTAAGGTTGCATATAACACAGGAGTGCATATTATACGCGAATAAATAAGTCTTGTGTATATTGATCAATCGAGGGGGTGCTAATTGGGATTGTTCACAAGCCAATATATAAGCAAATATCGCCGCTTATAAGAGCGGAGCCTTATTATGTCGATTACGGTAGTTTCAGATAATCACCTGCATTTCAGTCTGCATTATTTATACATAAGGAAGAGAATGGATGTCAACTTCTTTATTATGAGGAAGACAAATGTCTCCAGTGCAATGTCCCAAGACAAGGTATGCCGGGCATGTCCATTAGCTGTGGGTGTGACTGACTCACTGATCCTGCTTGTTGCCAACATAATGTATATAACTCATGCATATTCATCAGACAGGAATTATGCATATTCATCACCCAGTCATCGGGTCAGTCTCTACAGTGTAAACAATACTGATCAATATTTCTGCAATCGCATTATAACCGTCTCAACTCAGAACCTATTGGCCACATCGCAACAGGACTCTTAGCAGTTCGGATGGTTTCTGATTGTTTAGTTACACTGTGGGGATGAATCATTAGTGAATATTTTTTGGTCATTTCAGGATGCTGATGGGCAGAATATGCGATCATGACATAGAGAAAAAAACAAATAAAGGGCTGTGATTATTCCCAAGATGGAGGAACCTTACTTTTTCCAACAAGCTGGATTCCATTATCCAACTAAACGATTCCGGAAACTTCCAGAGGACTTACCGGACAGTTTAAAATTCGCTCACCTGAATCCTCGGGTCGCTGCCTACCTGGCCAGCAAGGAAAAGCAAAAGCAGGAAGAAGATTTGTTCGGAGATGGATTGGGGAAGAAAAGTCTTATGCCAGAGATTAACCAGGCATTTCAGCATGTTAAGAACCATCTGGACACCACTCTGTCCAACGATGAGGACTCACAAAGATATCTCTTTGAGGAGGCAAGGAGGTCAGCCTTAAGTATTCTTTACCAGTTAGGGAGAATTATATACAATTATGAAAGCCTTGGGGAATTTATTCCAAAGAGTTTGGAATACCAGTTAATGCTCAATTATAAAGATCTCACTGCAGATGTGATACATGTTCCTCGGGAATGGCAGACGATAGTAGCAAGGGAGATGTTTAATCGAAAAGTTACTGACATCCCGAGTGACGATGATAAACAAGGTATTGACGAGGACGGGAGGTCGACTCGGACTGATAAACAAGACAAGTTAAAGAAGAAAGTGCCCAAGTCGGGTTTGCCGGAAATAGTCGAGGATGAGGACTCAAATCGGACTACTGGTATAGCGACAACTCGACGTAGTGATAGCAAGCAGTCTGGTCAGTCCAAGAAACCAGGAATGAGCAGGGCGGATCGGGGAAAGAATACCCTCCATGCAGACTCCTCAAGATTGTCAGGTGGGTTCTGTGCTTTGTTCTTTGTTATGGTCTGCTTTGTGTAGGGGCTTAGCTGGAGGTCATCCAAGGTGCAACTATTGGCTGTGCAGAGTTGCCCCCCTTAGTCGTACAAGTATCTGCTGATCATGGGTTTGAGTCCAGAGTTCAGTGCTATGTTCTGTTATGAATCTAGATATCAGTGCTATGTTCTAATATGAATCTAGATTTAAGTGCTATATTCTGTTATGAATCTAGAGTTTAGTGCTATGTTTCTTTTATGAATCTTGATTTCAGTGCTATGTTCTAATATGAATCTAGATTTAAAAGCTATATTCTGTTATGAATCTTGATTTCAGTGCTATGTTCTAATATGAATCTAGATTTAAGTGCTATATTCTGTTATGAATCTAGAGTTTAGTGCTATGTTCTATTATGAATCTTGATTTCAGTGCTATGTTCTAATATGAATCTAGATTTAAAAGCTATATTCTGTTATGAATCTAGATTTCAGTGCTATGTTCTAATATGAATCTAGATTTAAGTGCTATATTCTGTTATGAATCTAGATTTCAGTGCTATGTTCTAATATGAATCTAGATTTCAGTCTATATTTTGTTATGAATCTAGAGTTTAGTGCTATATTCTGTTATGAATCTTGATTTCAGTGCTATGTTCTAATATGAATCTAGATTTCAGTGCTATGTTCTATGATGAATCTGGGTCTCAGTGCTATGTTCTATTATGAATCTAGAGCTTAGTGATATTTTCTGCTCTATTATGGGGCACAGGTGAGACCACTAAGCACCACAATTGGCTGTGCAGGGTTGCATGGGTTTGAATCCATGATTTATCCTAATCATGATCTTTGGTCTGTCAGCACCATGAACCATGGTTGTGGGATTCACCAAAACGGTAAACGTCTGCAACCTACTACACTTTGGGCCTTTCTTCCACATTCAGCTGACATGCCGTGTAATAAAAGAAATTCGGTTCAAAGCGGCATTCATCCCACCCAATAAACTCATATAATTACTTCATCGTTATATCTAGAAATGTTGATGAGAGGTGAAATAGTGCTTAACATAAAAATTATTGCATTCCTATAGTGCTGTCTGTCTGTCTGTCTGTCTGTGTCTGTCTGTCTGTGTCTGTGTCTGTGTCTGTCTGTCTGTCTGTCTGTCTGTCTGTCTGAATCAGAGAGAAATCATCTATTATTCATAAATTATAAAATCCAGTATGCTGTAACTAAGGGAATAGATCGATATTTTCCTGGTTGTTACAATGATGTATTAACTGAGTTGGATTGCCCCTGATTTATGCTCAATGGTAGTTAGTATATTGTCAGTTGAATTTTAAAATATTTGATGTCAAACAAAAACAAAATTGAACTCTTTGAAGCCATATCATCAATATGTGCCCCAAACTCTCTCTTGACATCACTTGTGACATCAGTTTAAATAGTTTTAGCATTAAGGTTACTAGCAATCCTTCCTGGACCAAAAGAAATGTTACAAGACTAATGGCTGAAATCACGGACTGCCATGATTGAATTACTTGCATGTGCATGTCTGACCCATAATTAAGGGTGCATATAACACACGAGTGCGTATTATACACAAATAAATAAGTCTTGTTTACATTGATCAATCGGAAAGGGTGCTAATTGGGATTGTTCACTAGCCAAAATATTAGCAAATATTTGCGTGGGCGCTTATTAGAGTGTGGTGCTTATTACGTTGAATATGGTATGCTCTTTTGCTTAATTGTTAAGCATTATTGTAAGAAACTTCCTATATTGCATCATCAGTTAGAAATATATTTTTTATTTTCTCTAGTCAGCAATAATTATCTGCTACAGAGTTGCAATGTACTATTTGCAGTGTTCAAAATTAAGCCTATTATTAAAAGTTTACAATTTAGTGGTCCCTAGATTTAAATACTACAGAAGCTAGGGCTGGGACGAATCCCATTTTACTACCCAGGTACCCACACCCCTATTACCCGACCCTACCCAGGTACCCGCTATTGGTGTCAAGAGACAGGTACAAAATGTCTGATTGGGAATAGTTTGACAGTAGCCCTGGCAAAATGTATTTAGATACATGTATAAAACGATGTGGTCATGCATACACTAAAGTTGACTAAAGTATTAGCTTTTTTCAAACATATATAAGTCAGAAGGAACGTGTTCATAGTCATGAAGAAATGCGAACATTGGATACTTAAAATTGTCGTGTAACCATGTATTTATATTGTGAATTCGTGTCATGAAACAATATATCACGTGACTAACCACGGGTCCGGGTAGTCCTGTGGGTACTCGGGTCCTACTCAATACCCACCCGGCCCGAGTACCCGAGTTACCTGTCCCAGCCCTAATAGAAGCAAACCTCAAGGACCCCAGTACCCTACTTGAGTTTGAACACTGTAATTGTGAAAGTGGTGGCCTGCAAGGTTATGTCACTGGTCCTTCTAATTTTACTAGCTCCTCAATAGCTGACTTATGTTAATTTTGTACCATGTATTGTCAATTGGTGATGTATAATTTCAGTATGCATGTACTTGATTGTCAGTTGACACTTTACAAGGTTTAATTAATTGTAAGACAATTAATAATATCAGAGATTTCACTAAAGTGGTAAACGTCTGGGACCTGCATAACTTCAGGCTTTCCTCAATTAAGCTCAGATATGCTATGATATAACTGGAATACTGTCAAAAGTGGCTTTAGACCTAACTCATTCACTCTTAGCTCACCTGTCTGAAAGTTAGCATGTCATGTCCTTTTTGTCCATCATTTATTGTTGCACTATTTTTAAGTGGGCAGTAACACTCCCAAAGAAAATTTCCTAACATATATTTTATTCATAAAAATATATGAGTATATTTGTTTTAAAACTTTAATGAATTTTTTCGCACAATTTACCACATACCAACCCTGACAACATATTTGAAAATCATTTTCAAGAAATTGGCCTAGACTTTTAAAGAAAATGAAATAAAAACACACCGTAATGTGTCCTCGTTTTGTATCTTGAAACATCAGCTGTTGTTAAGACCCCTAATTGTGTACTAAAGACATCTGAAATCTAGTATGTTTGGATCTCTAAAACATCTGACAATACAGCGACAGTAAACAAAGTGTCTGCCCACTTGGACTCTGCTGACCCCTCAGTGACCACAAAGTACTAGCATTGATCTCTCTACGAATAAAAGAGTTTAAATCTCCTCTAACATCTTGCTTTGTCACAAATGTAAATGGCTAACAAGTTTGCACAGCCATACAATTGCCTTGAACCGCTGCCATAAGATATAGAGATAGACTTTAACGAGAGACAAGGGCTACGTTTGTAGACATGTTATTTCAGCATTATCTTTCTTGAAGAGAATAAAGCTCCCTTTGCCAGCAGTGATTTCTTGATTACTGTACAGATGTCTATTCAGTAATTTCTTGGATAACATACTTGAAGATATAATACTGCTTTGTACTTACTGAATTCCAATCTGCTGACTCGCGTTTTTTGTGTAAATTTAATTTGAGTAAGGTTGCTATTGGACTTATTGAACAATCAGTCTTTTAAAGAGTTTAATATGTGTGTTTGGTTTCTAAGAAATAAGTTAATTTCACTTAATTCTGTATCTAAATAACTCTGTCTGTATTAAGGTGATACTGATAGCAAGTTATATTTCTGTTTATCAAATTTTGTGGCCTAAAATGAAGAACTGGCTAGAATTTTTATTTATTTATTTTTATATTTTTGTAATTTCAGAACAATATAAATTGCAAAAATTGTCTGAGGCATTGTAATGGAAGGTATAAAGCGACAATTCATTTCAATTTCCCCAACTTTACGGTATCCATTCCATGAAGTTTCCTTCATTTAACAGTGTGCCTATGTATTGTACATCTAGGTGAGTGAGTGAGTGAGTTAAAGATTAATGCCACCTCAGCATATTTTCGACCATATAGAGACAGCTATATCTAGGTGATTGCTGGGGAAAGCAAGTACTATATTTGTCTTGCATATGGAAAAGAGATCAGTCTTCCAGTGTAATATAATCTATTGATTTTCAATTTGCGGATAAAGAAACTTATTTCAGGATTACCCAAAAAATGAAAAAATGAATGATTCAATTGAAAGTAGGTGGGTGATAGGATTATTGTGTAGACTTAATGGATTCGTCTTAGGTGCACTTACCGCAGTAAAGAAATGCATTGCTCACTGGCGATGTGAGTGCATTTATGTGACAGCATAAATCAGAATTCATTATTACTATGACGCTCATACCACTGAAAGGTTGTCAAGACAGACAGGTGATAGAAATTTACAATTATGTTATTGAAATGGACTAAGTATTCCTTACAGAAAAAATGACAGATAAATAAAACTTATTTCCGTATAGAGTCTTTAATGCTTTTTAATGGTAATGTATTTGGTGTATTGTGATATGGGTGTCGTCAATGTCAGTACATATGAAATCGACGTGATAAATTACCAGTAGGTAATGTTGTATATTTCATTGATCAACAGAATGCCAAGGGTGTAACACAGACATAAGTGAAGTAAAGGGAAAATGGTGTTATCAGAGTGAAATAAAATGGTAGTTTATATCATGAGCTGATAGATCTAACATGATATGGCTGAAATAGAAAGGGTGGTTTGGTGCTTTATGAGTTTAATAATGATGTTGATACAGCTTCTTATCAAGGATTTATTTACCATGACAAATAATCAACAACATATCATTTTCAGATTTTGTATATGCTTTCTTTCAATACGATTTCACTGTTAAGTGTTAAGATAACATTTTCTGTGTAACCTGTATGTTTGTCCTCATTTCAAAGTAAGAAATATGATTTTTGTTAAGTTATCAATTTTATTTTCGAGGAGATTTTACACTTAAGACAAATGGGTAACTGAATGTGATTTATAACATGATTTCAGCAGGATCAGCTGCATATTAATATAATACCGTATTCGACGTAATAAGCACCCAGGGCGCTCTCAAAATTAGAACTA